CTGCAGATAAAGGACACATAGAAGTTTGTCTCATTCTCAGTATATGGACAGGTCATGCCTCATGTGAAAGGTTTTAAGCAGTGACCATTCAAATCAGAGAGGTTGGTTTATGGTTCACGTCTCACGAAAACAAAAACTGGTTCAACGTCTTCTCTGTCAGTACAAATGAACAAAAGTGATTTTTTTATTTCGCAGTAGCTTCGGAAAGTGGTGCCATTATTCAAACCCAAAGACGCAATTACTGTCAGCTGAATGGACTTTAAGCCGTAAGATTAATATGGCAAGTTTGTGAACCCAATACTCTGCAAATAATGATAAGGTCCAACATTTGTGGCTCATCTGAGTTTGGAGATTTCTTTCAAAAACAGTAAATCTCCCATAGAGCTATAGGCCCCTGCCATCCATCTGAAATTAAGACTTTACCAAATTCTAGAACTGCAACCTATTTATAGATTTACTTATAGATAAATTTTTTTGGTCTTGTAAAAGGTCCTATATTACACAAACTTGACTCTTGTGAGTTTTGGGGCCATGATATCTGAGTGTTTGATGTTTGGGTAATATTTTATTAGTCTGACTATGTCCAAATCTTAAAATGTCCTGTGACCAGATTTTCAAAATTCTAAACTGGGACACACCCGGGTTGGGATGGTTGGTATAAATAAAATAGTGAAAAGAGCGTGTAACATTGTGCATTCTCGTGTCAGTCATAATCTGAGGGACTTCTGGCCCTGCATTTTTTGCTTCATGGTCATTCGCAAACACAAATTTCTGTATTTTGGCTAAACAAACATAAATTTATGCTCCTTTTATCAGGGATCAGTTTAGTCATAAATTGCGATAGTCCTGGTTTAATCTTAGTTTAGTCCTGGTTTAGACCTGGTTTAGATCAGATTGGTCAAAAACAGGGACACCTTTGAGATTTCTTGTATAAAATTGGGACCAATCACTGGTTTTGTATAAATCTGCTGGGACAGGGGACACAGGGCTCAAAACTGGGACTGTCCCGGGTAAATAAGGACATCTGGTCACCCTATGTTAACCCCTTTACCTTTTGTTCAGTAGAGATTAGCAATTCCAGGTCTGAAATCATCCAAATGATTCTAGTGAAGGTGTATGGAGTTTATGGAGTTTATGGACCACTTCCTGTATTACCAGGTTACATCATAAGGTGGAAGAGTTTTTTTTTGTTTGTTGGTTGGTTTGTTTGAGAGAAGAAATCAGCCTAAATATGCAGGGTTTGTGTGTTAAAAATGTATGAATGAAACAAAATACAACTCCAGGTCTGTTTGTGATGAGGAAACAACATTATGACAGATGTGAAAATAGTGTAATATGGGCCCTTTAACCAGCTCCTATACTAAACCGAGTGTAGTACTAAACCTGATTGTTGTTTTGTCCTGTACACTGCCTGCTGTCTGAAGCTCTTTACTAATGAATGACATATCCCTGGTTACACGGGGCCTGTTTGAAGATAAATGGGACGCTAATTAAAACCGGAAAACACCAAACGTCCACTGGTCTGAAAACACTGGATCTGTCATGGAGATGTTATCGGCCATCTCCCTCGTGCAGTGACACTGCGCTGACGTGGCCGTGCTCATAAAGCTAATGCAGCTAATGCTAATTACTGATCAAATCAAGTCAAAGTCAAATCATTATCAAGTCATTTATACAAACACAGTCTATGGCATAAGAGCCCAAAACGTTTGAACGAGAGGAAAAACGCAGAGGAAAGATCACGAGGTGGCCACCAAGAAGGAGGTGAGAAGGTATACTGGACATTTTCAGTAACATTTTGACTTTTTAAAAATGTATTTAACCAGAATAAAACAAAAGGGTCAAACAGTTGATCTAATTTCCAACTTTTTGTACCAAGTATTGCCCAAGAAAAAGTTCAAGTACTGCCAAATCTAAACCAGATCTAAAATAGGTCTAAACCAGGTCTAAAACAGGACTGGTGCCAGTCTAAACACAGTCTAAAAGAACACTGCACAGCATGACTTGAATAGTTCCAAACAGGAATTAAAGGAGGACAAAAATGAGATTCAATTATGTCCAAATTAAACAAACAGAAGAACTGCAGATGATCTCGTGTATTAGCAGAAGCAGGCTGCATACCACCAGAGGGACACGCAGCACAGTGAGAGACAGATCTAATCTATTGTCATCTATTCTATTCAACTGAATAAAGCCCTGTGCTACTGTGATTTTTTATTTATTTTTTTACATGTAATACCTAATATTTACTACTACAGTACAACTCCTACTACTACTACATATAAAATACATAGAAATAAAGAAATAATAGGTGGACTAATGACATGTCCTACTGAACGACTAAAAGGTGTGGCAAAAGGTACTACTACTACTGCTACTACTACTACGATCACTACTACTTCTACTACTACCATTACTACTACCACCATTACCACTACTACTACTACTATCACTACCATTACCACTATTGCTACCATTACCACTACCGCTACTACTACCATTACCACTACTATTACCACTACTACTACCAGTACCACTACTACTATCATTGCCACTACTACTACCATTAAAAAGTACCATTACTACTACTACTACTACCACCATTACCACTACTACTACCATTACTACTAGTACCACTACCACTATTTCTACCCTTACTACTACCATTACCACTACTACTACCACTACCATTACCGCTACTACTTACATGACCACTATTGTTACTACTACTAACATTACCACTTCTATTACCTTTACCACTACTACTACTATCACTACCATTACTACTACTATTACCACTACTACCATTAGCACTACTACCGCTACCAGTACTACTACCACCACTACTACCACCACTACTACCACTACCACTACCACTACCACTACTACTACTACTACTACTACTACTACTACTACTATTCTATACAAATGGTTATATGTGAAATTGTGTGTGCTTGTGGGTTTTGGGTCATGTCTGGTCTGATATGTTTTTTGTTTTTTGTTTTTTGAGAGCTTTGCCAACCCCACGCCTCACTCACCCTGTTTTGTTGACAAATTAATTATTTCGACCAAAAGTTTCTTTAGTCGACTATACACCCATCTCCTACACCGCTATCATCATTCAGGTTGTATTATTTCACATGGGGCTGCTGTATGAGGCTTGACAGCAAATGAGTTCAGACTACAAAGCTGTTTTAAAGCCCCCCAGAGAATCGGGGCAGTATTGAGTTGTTGGTACACATGAACAGTGAACATTTTACACAAATCAACCTACTTGATATTGTATTTTTGTCATGAAACATTTCTCAAATTCTCCACTAATGTGAACAGAAGTATGACAACAAAGACAGTGCGATTCAGTAATAGTATTTAGAGTAGTAGTAGTAATAGTTAAGAGGCAAAAGTGGGCGATGCAGAATGTTGTCAACCTGTTATTTATTCATCATCTGGCAGCATTGTACCTTTAATTGGTACAAACAAAATTAAACAAATCCAATTAACTTTCCTATAGAATTGCCTATAGTAAAACGACTCTTTAATTAATTGTGTTTGATTCTCCACAGCACACAGCCGAGCGTCACACGTACAGAAACTCTACACCATCTTCTCTTCTTACTGTGGACTGTGTCTCCTGTCCACAAACCACCAATGAATTTACAAACACTGGTAAATTATTTAACCTGTCCAGCTGCAGGGATCCAGTTACAAGCAGCCAGGATCTGCAGGTTAGACAAAAGGACAGGCCAAGAATATATGAATTACAATGTACAGCGGCGGGTTAATGCGCCATCGGAAATGTTGTACTCCTCATCTTTAAAGCAATACCGCGTAACTTTCTAGAGATGGCATTTCAACTTTATGATTCCATAAAAAGTTAGAAAGTTCAAATAGTACTCCGGAACATTCATCATGGAGATAGATGAGTTTTGTGCAGAACTGTGGAATCATTAATCGTGAGTTTCAGTTTTAGTTTTTGAAGGTTTTGTGAGAACTTTACCTATTAAAAAGTATAATTTGGTCTGAATCTCCTTATTGCTATGTTGATAGAGGATGTTTCCATAGCTTGAAACCAATGAGGAACAGAGCCAGAGGAACAACATTTCCATGGAGACAAAAAGGCGGAGGTCAAATAAGAGTCAGGTTTGTGAAGATGAATGGTCAGTAAACGGTCTCAAGATATTGCAGAAGTAAAGTGGGCCTAATGGTTACTTTCTCATCATTCCAAATCTCATTAAATGTGCATTGAAGTATTTTGCATTTAATCAAGTACTGGTGTTTTTACTGAAAAAAAAAGATCAGAGAACATGTATTTCTAATGTGAGCAGTGTCACCTCTCCATAGATCTGACCTGTAACTTGGCCTGGCGGTATAGATGGTTCAATGAGTTCAATGAGATACCTTGGAGCATTTACTCAAAGCACTGACATCACCATGGAGACCAGCGGGCAGCTTCTAATTTTAAAGTGTTTTATTGTCCGCTATTCAGGAAGTGTGTGTTAGCATGCTATTTGTTAGCTTTACTGTCAGTGTGGTTTCTGAAAGTTGTGAAAAAGACTTAAAAACTCATTAGTGTGAATGATAAGGATGTTTGGAATGCATAAGGTAAGTGAGGACCTTGCACTAGTTCTGTTTTTAAAGGTGCATTGAGTAACTTTTCTGGTGGAGGGTTAGTCACCTGCTTGTTTCTATGGCTATATAATTGCTCTGCCTGGAATGTTCCACAATATAACATTAAACAGCTCTAATTCACATTTTTGTCAATAACAGATGGTCTTATAACTAAAAAAATAATACCTAAAAAATACCTAAAAAAAACAGGTATTCTGACTGTGATTGGGGTCGCCTCTCCACAGATTTGACCTGCAACTTGGTCTGGTTTGGTCTCCGTGAAGATAGAAAGGTTTAATGCCATACTGCGAAACATTCCATACAAAGTAATAACGCATATGACGGACCTTCCACCAGAAAAGTTACACAATGCACCTTCGAGCACTTCCTACCGGAGTGGCTGTGTCTGTGAACCTCCGCCACTTCCTCCTATCCCTCCATCTTCCAGGCCGGTCTTCTCTTCCGAGTTTCCCTCTCCTGAGGTGCTTCCCCCACCTCCCCCTCCTCCTCCTCCCCCTCCTGATCTGAGGTGGCGTAGCTCGTCCGGCTGGAGGGCGCTGTACCACGAGTGCTGCCCGCTGTCTGGAGACAACACCGGGCTCTTGTCTTCCTCCTGGCTCTGCCCCTGGACCTGGCTCTGGACAGTTTTAACCATGTTCACCGCGTTCACCGGCAACTGCAACAACTTCTGCATTGTCGTCATGGTGATGGCTTCAATAAGGAATTTTCTTGGTGCTTAATTGGAAAGTTGGTAAAAAAAAAAAAGCGTTGTTTATCCGAGATGTAAAATTGAAGATCAAATTTACTGAGAACTTGCTGAATGTCAATTTAGAAAAAAAATTAATAAATTGTTATGCAAAACTAAACTAAAATTTTTAAATCTGCATCTTCAGTTCAAGAAGTTTTCAATAGGTGTAGTCTGGAAGTTGTTAAAAAATAAAATAAAATAGCTATGCCTTGTTAATCCAAGATGCAAAATTGAAGATCAAATTTACTGAGAACTTGCTGAATGTCAATTTAGCCAAAAAAAAAATAAAAAATCAAGAATCAAAAATCAAGACATTTATTTAGAAAAATCCACTTCTCTTGTTGCTAATACTGCATGGTTAGTTTACAAAAATAATTCTGGACACTGAATACAAATTTGAAAATTAGTATCTCACTAATATAATTAATTCAAAAGTTTTGGGTTTTTTTTTGTAGTTTCACACCCAAGCTCCAAGAAATTACAATTTAAATGCTGACAAAAATGTAACTAAAATGCATGCTTGCTTCATTCAAAACTCAAAGAGGTCCAAAAACAAGACAACCAAGACTACTTGTAGAATCTGCACAAAAGTTGTCAAAATATATATAGTTTTTGTAATCCTATTTAGTTTGCAAAAATAATTTATGATGGAAATTAATCTTAGAAGGCAGAATTGCAGCTTTGGTAAGAATTTCAATCATCCCAGAGTATATCCAACGTGTCCAAGAAAATTGTGGATTCCAAATTTGCCAAAACTGCAGATGTTTTAGTCCAGCTGTAATCGAGTTCTGTGTATTCTTCTAGCTAGCGGTGCACTGACTCCCGTACGGATAGGTCTAAATGGATGCTCGAGGAGAAAGAAGAGAGGAGAGAGAGAGAGAGAGAGAGGGAGTGGGGGGAGAGTTATAGAGGAGAGACGGAGAGCAAGAGGGAGAGAGAGGAGAGAGAGAGAGAGAAAGAAAGAGAAGAGAGAGATGGGGGGTGGGGTGGGGGGGGTGGGGGGTGAGAAAGACGGACAGAAGGATAGAGGTGGAGTTTTCCGCTCACATAGTCATCCACATTACAATAGGCCAGCGGTACTATGACACAGCCCTTTTTGGCCCCGCCCCCTGCCACGTTGAAGTCATTTACCAGCGGTTTTAGGAGCTTGATCGGCCGTAGGCTGCGCGGTGCTTTTGTGGTTAAAACGTTCATTCATTTTTAATTGTATGCACAGTTCCAGTGGTCTTAAATGACTCAGCGATTTCAAGCGGCGTGATGAGAAAGCCACAGTCCAGCTCCCACTCTTTTTACTGTGAACAGAAATAGCCTGCTGTGTCGTGCATATGTTGAAAGTGCTGTGCAGGTTTATCTATGTGTGAATATGAAATCAATTACTTGGAGTGTAGATTATGGCTCAGTACCACAAAGATAGAGCTAAATATTACATGTACTCACTCAGACTACCTGCTTTTGAAACTGGTTTAGTTATTAGTCAAACTGGGATTAGACCTGGTTTTAGACCAACTTTTATTAATGATAAAAAGATTAATATGAAGAAAAAGAATGCATTTCAAGTAGAAGTGTGCAAAAATATTGAAATATCTATATATACGGTGATACTACATTTGGTGATACAGTATTGTTATCATGGGCTGCTGTCTCAAGATAATTTTTTGATCATTTAGCTGTTTTTTTTTGTGTGATTAGACTACAATGTTGTTGCTTATTTAGAAAAAGGAAACTCGTTTATGCAATACACTTGACATATTCAGTGTTTTGATGATTAAAATAGATCTATTTCATATACTTTTGTACATGTAGTGGTTTAACTAAGAAATATTGTTACTAAAATGTGTTTGGAATGAATTGTTTTAAAAGGAGCTTTGTTCCATCTGCTGTCATACTTATGAATAAATTGTCTTGGAAAAATGGTGTGTTTTTATATATAGTTAATATTTATTGTGTTTTAGCCAAGCATGATGGATGAATTTAACTCATTGTTTATAGAACAAACCACTCTGCACTGCAGCACTGTAACACTTTATTTTGTAATTGTGTTTTTATATGTGTTTATTGTACATAATGTGGATGAATGACATGTGAAATGCGGGACCTGCCTCTCAAATCTGATAAAACAAATTTACCTATGGGTACAAATACAGCAATATATCGACTGTATCTCCATATCATGATAATATCTCATTGCGAGCCACATATAACATATTGTATCGAATCGTGCAAAACCCCCATGATTCCCAGCCCTAATCTGAAGTCACCAAAGTGATTTACATTGTATTATTCAGTCACTCCACACTCTCTGGGAATAAGCTACCTTTGGGGCAGAGAGAGTGAAATGAGGCTGCCAATCTGCACCATGGGCCCCTCCAACCATCTACAATCACTCAGTGTCTTGCCTTAATACACAACAACACTGTGCAATAGAGCCACTGCTGCCCCAATGTGGAGCCTGGTATTAGTCCTAAAACAGAATATTGAATATACATTTTTAAACATATAGAAATCCAATATTTGATTGGCTTTTGTGACCGATAACCCTCACAATATCATTTTTTTTTCTTTATACTGACAGATAAGATGCTGACTTTTCTACCAGTTTTTGTTTCATGTGGATAGGTCTAGTAATGACGAAGATATGAACCATGAACCAGGTCAACAAATCTGCAATCTGACAGTTAAATAGCAAATTCCACAATTCATATTTTGATTATGCTGACTACATTTTGGTTAAATGAGTGTGGTAATTGCTCTTAAATAGGCTACACAACCAGACTGCCTCTTGTATATGTCATGGTCAATAGATCCACAGTGCTCACAGGTTGTTCTCAGTAATAAAAGATGAGAGGAAGGATTATCGTCGCTCAGGTGAAAATCAACATCTCACATCTGTCACATCGCCATGGAGACTGCTGAAGGACACGCGACATAACTTTATTTAAACAGGAAACAAAACAAAAGGGCTACATACACAAAACAGGACAACAAGAATGGGTTATTTCAACACTGAGTCTACTAGCACACAGGTGGGGGAAATATAGAGCACAGTTTCAGTTTTATAATGATACTTCTTGGTTACATTTGATTATACTATATTAGGCTACTACGCAAACACTTGCACTAGTTTAATTCTGGTTAGAGTCCAGTCCTTTGGTCCTCTTCTATTCCTGGTTTAGTTCATGATTTAGTTCCTGGTTTAGTCACAGTTTAGTCAATTAGATAGACACTTTTGATGTGATGTGTTTGCAAGTCTCTCCATTTGGCCTGGTTTTCCCTAGTTTGACAATTTTGGTGAAGTTTCTCATTTTACTTCTTGGTTGGACATGGGTATGAATTTTGTATGATATAACTCTCAATATGTTGTTATTTTTGTGTGTAAATTGTCTTTCCACTTTGTGTATTATATAGTTAGAAGGATTCCTTTCTATAACTCAGCCCTACTTTTTGTAATTTTCTTTTTCAACTTTTTATTCAAAAATATGAATAGCAACAAGAGTAATAGCACAATAATGGTAGAAGAAGATGTGTGTACAGCAGTATATGCTTACTATGAAAAAGTCTGGTATAGAGATAGAGAAAGGGCTCCTTCTGGTGGTTACAAGTGAAAAGTCCATTCTGTGATATACAAAACAAATAAATTCTGAGCTCTGTATATAAACATGTTTGTAGCGAGGGCCACAGACTGGTAGTCAGTACAACAAGTCTTTAAATAGATGCATTTTAGACAGCTTTCACAAAGCCATCACACCTATAAAAGTCTTGGAACATACATTTTTCATAATGCAATATGTTTGAGGTGAATAAATATTGCATTTGGGCCAGTAAAGCAGGACCTGCAGGGCCAACAAAAATTGGCCCCCTTCTCTATATTGTAAGGGACAAAAAAGTTATTAAAGACTGTAAAACAGGAAGTAAACTCCACTCCACAAACTGATTATTTAAAATATTCTAAACATTATTTTACAGGTCTAAAGAATTGCAAATTGTCAAAAAGTATAAGATCTTATCGTCATAGGTTGGTTCACTTGATGATCTAGACCAGTGGCTCTTAAACACCAAGTACCACCAAAGAAAAGACTTTCCTAGTACCACCATATCTAAACCAGGTCTATATCAGGACTATTTCAAGTCTAATCTAGTGCTAAACCAGATCTAAACTAGGTCTATAACACTACTATTACAGGTCTAATCTAGGGCTAAGCCAGATCTAAACCAGGTCTATAACAGGACTATTCCAGGTCTAATACAGTGCTAAGGCAGATCTAAACCAGGTCTATAACAGGAATTAGAGCCCGACCGATATGGATTATGTTGTGGCCGATATGAAACCGATAAAATGGGAGTTGGAACTTCCGATAGCCGATGTAATCGCCGATATATTTAGTGATGTAAAAATTTACTGTAAATCATGAATTGTTTAAAAAACCTAGGTTTGGCTCGGGTGGAGTGTAAATTGGGTTTATTTAGGCAACATTTATTGTTATTCTGCCTCTTTATGTCATATTTACAGACAGTAGATCGGCCTAATGGCATTTTTGCATCACATTCTAGCTACAAGTGATGGGGATTCCAGTTCTTTTTAGAGAACTCTTTCGGCTCCCAAGCGGCTCTTCAGATTGTTTTGTTGCAAGCAGGTCTAAAGCAGGACTGAACCAGGACTGAACCAGGTCTAAACCAGGACTAAAACAGATCTTAAACCATGTGTAAACAGGACTAAACCAAAACTGAACCAGGACTGAGTGTCTGGTCTCTATCTCTCTCCCTCTCTCGAGCCCAAGATTAGTCCTGGTTTATTAATTTTATTCTGAACTACAGCTAAATATGCAAGTTTTTTCTATCCTATGCACACGCAAATTTCTGAAAGTTTCATTTTCAGCCGCTGCCGCTGTCAAACTATGGGTCTCCACACGGCGTGAAGAGAAAAAAAGTGAGAGAAAGAGAAAACATGGCTCCCAATA